TTTTATATTGTCAATATTATTTTATATTCATATATTAATTATAACTTTGACAAAAAATCAATGAAAAATTAAAATGGAAAGTTTTCAAAATTAAAACAACTCCATAATATGTTATTTCGGAGTAACTTCATCTAGAGTAATTTCATCAGCTGTAATTTTTAAAATAACTTTTTATTAAGAAGACTGGTTTGATCGGCGACTTTAAAAGAAAAAAGGAATGAAAGAAGGATAATTAAATCTACCGCATTTTGCGAAATCACCCTTCATTCGCCGTCGATGATGCTGCGGTCGCTATTTCAAACTGGCACGGACCTTAACAAGATGAGATTTAGAGCGTCCCCAGGTGGCAGACGTTGGGTCCTAGCAGTGGCAGTTTATATCGTGTATACCTCGACGGAGTTCCCAGACTATTTAACCGGGACATAAATGTTAAAAGCCCGCCGTCTCTCCCTTTATGTTCTGCGCGTATCCGTAAACGTTACGATCGGTTTTACATTCAAGTTTCGACGCGCTCTCGAGATCAGCGCGGAGTGCTAGCTGGAGAAAAAATGCGATGCATTCTTTTAACGCGTCGCGAAGAAAAGACGCAGAGCGGAAATTACTGCGAAGAACCGGATCGTTCGAGTCGCCATCGTTTCACGAGTTTTTCCATCCGCTGGTCTCGTAATCGGATTTAGAGAAGAATTCTTAGAACCACCTATCATGCACTCTAATTTTTTTATAGAACAAAATGTGAAATTAATACAAAATAGATTTCTGTAAATAGATAATCTGATGCCGGAGAAAGCATGCACTTTCATTATACAGCTCGATTATTGTTATCGATATATTATTTGTCAAATAATATTAATATCTCTAAAATATTAATCCTAATACTAAATACAAAAAGCCGCAAAATAATTACGCTGTTAATTAAACTGCCCAGCCCTAGAGCTTATACTGCAATTCATTAAAATTATTGTATGTTAATTCGAGATCCCTAATAATGAGGAAAAACTCTGCAAAAAAAACTTCACAAGTTCAATCCTTTTTTTCTGCGCGACACATTTTTGCTCATGGGTCATTAAGAATTTTCGCAAGAATGCCGACTAATAGTATCGGCTGGATTACAAAGTTTTTAGAGCGCCGCGTCGTATCCTGCACCGAGAATACGCGCCTAAACACCTGCCTCCCTTTCTCACAACTCTCCCAGGACCGCGACCTTTCTTCTCTTTCCTGCGGGGTCGCGCGAGAAGTTTCTGTTCCGCGAGGACAGACTTTTCGCGGCGCGCATTTAGCCGCCTCGACTCGGGAGATCGTAAAGTTAAATATCGGAGGAGGATTTCTAAGACGGAGAGACGCAAGAGAGGGTGGAAGAAACATCGCCGCCGCGCGCGCTACGTAAATTGGCTTCGCCGCCGGAGGCGGATCGGTTAATCGCGCGAGGAGGTCGCGGCGACCGAACAAATAAACCGGGAACAAATAAAGAACGAAGTTAAAATTCAATTCGGCCGGAAGAAACAATCGAAGTCCTGAATACAAGAACTGGGGAAACCGCACTTGCGATTGTTTCAGCAAAGTTAGGAGAACTCCAGGGAGACACATGGAAATTTCATGAAACTCTCTTTGTCTTAAAAAGAAGCGGATAATAAAATTAACAGTGAAATGTACATCGCAATATGTGTGCTTTTTACATATTTAGATGCAAATACATTCTTGAAGGTATCTGTACATAATTTATATTATAATCTCCAATTTATTATAATATTTCAACATTTTTAGAAACATAAAATAATATAATAATAAATATGAAAATATATAAATATAGAGGTAAATCAAGAATTTCAAAGCGATGCTTAAAATCCCTTTTGAAAAAAAAGATACGCTTTCTTCACAAAAGCACCGTCGGATTATATCCAGTAGAACAAGTCAAGCTTTGATCAGACTTCGACAAAGCGCGCGCAGCGCACAGAACGTACAGAATGTATCCAATAAACTCATTCGCGTCGTTAAAATTTCAAAATACAGCGCAAAATTAAATAATTAATATTTCAAGGTTTAAGACAACTTATATAAACGGACTTTGACATGTAATTCTCTCGCACTAATCCCATTTCTATCAATGTAGTTTAATTTTAATCTTGATTAAACTAACTCTTCATCTTTTTCAAGAATTAGAAAAAGATGAAGAGTAAGTTGAACTTAAATTAAAGTTAATTTACGTTGGTAGAAACGGGCATTAATCGTATAGTGAAACTTGAGTGCAGAGTTAAATGTTTATCTCTCTGGCTCGTATTTTCATCAAGTCGAATTAGTCATTTTACAGTTCATCCGGATTGTTTGAGAAAAGTGTCAATCCGTATAACAAGCATTTTCTTCTTATATTCATATAACACAAATCATACGATACCCTAATAGATCGAAGAATTCGTCTGAGCAATAAGTAAGCTCCAGGTGGCTGGCTTTGACGTGGGTTAATCTCTCGAGCTGATTACAAGTCGCGAACAGCCAGACACAAATCCAGTTCCGCTCCTGCCAAAACCGTTGGTATAAGCCTACTTACACACGGCTGAACATGTAGCCGGCCAATCGTCGATTGGTAATCCGGGAATGTTTTCTGCCCGGTCCATTATCGGCTTAGTGCGGCTCCCGCGCCACTCTCCGTTTCGCAACGACCTGATTCCACGCGAGAAAAAAGGAAACAGCACCCTATATTCCAGACGCTCTGGATAAATCGATAGCGTTAAAGATAGTTTCTTTACACGCCATTTCGCATTCGCGATTCCTCAAAAGGGAATTCACAGAAACGCAAAAATCCTCTATGCCGCGATCGACATAATAATGAATCAAACGTTTTTCAGTAATTATTTTAATTTGTGAACTATATTTTTCAACAATTTTTGGAATATGAGGCAAATTGTATAACTGTCTGTTTTCCAACATGACTGTTCATATTTCCCGACAATTTCAATTTATCGTTGCACTCATTTAGTGAGACAATAAAAATTTGTCACGAACACAAATAAAAATTTATTAGCAAAGAATTTTTTTGCTGCTCGTTTTATCGTATGTAAAAATAATATCGCCGGTTAAGGACAAAGTGGCAAGCGTAAACATTCTGTTTTCACAAACTTGTGAAAGAAAGACTGGCTTTCGTGTATGTACACCGAGAATATTATTCGCTGCGCTATTGAGCACGATTAAAAATGCATGGGCCACTCAACCCGGAAGCACTTCAGTTATCCTGTTATCCAGTATCCTCAGGGATAAGGCTCGCCCACCCTTAATGATGACCAGCAATATTTGCTCCTTTGTTTTCCTACCAAGAGAAAAATAGTGCGCCGTCTCGTGCATTAGCGCGCCCCTCGCAAGATTACAAGGTATTTTATTTTTATGAATGAGGAAATTACACGTGAAAATAATAAAAAAGGTTATACGTTACAATTAAATGATTTTTCGATCTCCTTTTCGGCTTAAGATTACGAAGCATTATTTTCCGAAGTCGTAATCTTCTGTTATATGTTGTAAAAGTAAATTGATCACGAAGAAGAAGCGAAAGATAATCCAATAATAGAATTTTATAGACTAATCAAACTGATAGAGCTTTGGATTTGTATTCACACCTTAACTTCATAAGACATAAATGCATTTATTGATAAAAGTGAAATGTGAATATGGATCTAAAGCTTTATAAAAATATAAAACTATGAATTTGATTTGTCTATAAGACTCTTTTATTGATTTCTTAGGTTCTATGAATATATGTAATGTAAACTATATGCACGCATTTATTAATACAAATAAAGTGTGAATACGGATCTGAAGCTCTACGAAAACGTAAAACTATCAATTTGGTTATACTATAAAATTCTTTTATTTATTTCTTATATTCTTGATATATGTATAACGTTAACTATATGCTAAATGCGCGCATTTGTCGACGAAAATGAGGTGTGAAGAAGTTCTACAAAATATAAGACTATCAATTTTATTATTCTATAAAATTGTTTTATTTGATTATCTTTCACTTCTTCGTGATAAATTTACTTTTACAACACGTATTTACATGAATCTGCATACATAAATCTTGTTATCGCGGTGCAACGTTTAGAACCGCTCCAATTTAATTCACTATCTTCCAAATATTTCGCGCGCGATAACAAAGCAAAGTGTCGATTCCGCGGCAGGTGCAATTAGCGTGTCTTACGAATATCGCGCAAAGTGTATTACTATGAGCCAGGCAAAATCTCGACAATTCCGATGGTCGCGGCAAGAAGATTATTCTATAATTTTAACAATCAATTATTTAGAATTCAGTTATCTCGGCGCGCGAGGCTACCGACGTATATTCAATTTTAAAACTGCAAACAGTCGCCGGGGTACCGCTCGCAACGAGGCACTCAATATGTAAAGCGCGATGTAACTTCGCCGCGGCTGCAACTCCGCGCGCCGCGCGGATTAATCAAGCGGAATTTACGCCCGACTTGTAAACGTTGATCAAATATCCGTGAGCGAGTTAACGACCGCGGGATTGTCTGTGAAATTCGACTAATTCAACTCTCGGTGCGCGCGCGATGTTTTTCGGCGACGGCCTCCGTTGAAGTTAAATTACGTTAGCCCTTTCGTTTCCCTGCGTCCTCCAATTAAGGACACACTTTCCCTTCATTGGGAACACGCAAACACAGAGTTTGCATGCGAAGTTATGTTTTTCTTTTGTTTTCATAATTTTACAACAGTCCTCTCTCTCTCTCTCTCTCTCTCTTTCGAATCTGAACTGATAAAAAAAATTCTCAAAAAAAAAATTCCTGCAACACGCCACAGTCACGTAGAAACTCGTGAAAAATTTCCATCCCTTCCTAACATACATACGCGTATGTACTTGAATATGTATATAATTCATCGTCGCATTACACGCGATACTGCATTCAGCGTACCGACTGCGACCGCTTTCAATATAAAACGAAGAAATAATAAATGAGTTGGGGCCGTCACGTACCGGGTGGCACTGTTCGCTCACTCACCTGATAGAGTATGTCGAGAGTGATCGGATAGAGCAGGTGCTCCACGATGACTCGGAGTACGGTGTTGGGTCCGCCCTGAGTCTCGCCAGGTCCGGATACCTGATTTTGTCCAGCGATCGCGACCTGGCTGTTCGAATTCTGTAACAGAGAAGAAAAGTGGAGACGAATTAAGCAAACTTCGAAGGAACGGACTAATTGCGATCGACGTTCGCGCGTCGCCCAAAGTACTAAAGATACAAATTGCCGAAGTTCCGAATGATACAAATTTTACTTTACAGACGAAGTGATTTTCATCGAACTTGGTCTTTTTGTATTTTTAGGACTTCGTATAGAGGCGAATAATTGAAGGCTTATTTACATTAATTGTTTTATTGTTAGCACAATATAATAATAATAACATTAATATAATAATTGAAGTCTATATACAATAAGCCTTTAATTAGATATTGGATAATAATATAATATGAATAATAATCGATATAGCTATTTTAAAATCCAACACAGCTGAAGGTCTTTAAAAGCATCGATATAAAAATGTTCTGTTTCCGCTATGCAACGTATCACGATTATTAATATCAAACAAAATTTAAAGCGTATATTAAATTGTTAATGAAATAAATAGCTTTTTTACTTTTGTATGTGTGAGAAATTATTTGCAGTGTCTGAAATTGGAACGCTTTCATTGCAGAGGAATAAAAAAGTTACCTGGAAATAACAAAAAAATCTTTGACTTTATCTTCAAATTGTAACACAAATGAAGATTCTTTTATACATAATTTGTATTAAATGATATTATTAAAAAAAGCTATTGTGTCAGGGAAGTGAAATAATTAGAAATTTCCTGGTTTAAAGAATACATCATCAATGACCTTACTGACTTCGATGCGATGCATGATCCTCCTTCTTCGCACGATATACAGATCACGGAAATTCTCTCTCGGCGTGTCTGCTGAGCGTGATGAAGCGGAATAGAAAATGATTTCTTTGAAGCGAGAAGCAGAAAGAGCGAGCGTCAGAAGAAAAACGGAGAAAAATGCGGAAGAGCAAACGAAAATAGATGCAAGAGTATTAAAATTGGACGCATACTAAGTGTAAAAACGAGGAGATATTATACTTTGTAAGTGAGAGCCGTATAATGGACGATGGCTCTGCTGGGTTATTAAAAGGAACCGTGTCTTTCTGAGCCTCGCTGAGTGAAACACCCGGCAAGTTCGACTCTAATATTAGATCGAAAAAGAAGTGAATTGGAAAAGAAATCGTGGCAACATGCTACAAATTCTACAACAATCAATTTACAAGATTTTGTCTTATCAATTTACAGGATAATAATTATTTGATGCGTTATGTATTCTGACTAGATAAATAATTGAATGTGAAACATTTATACTATAGAATGTATAAATACATATCTTCACTTTGAGAAAATTTAAGGCAATATTTTTTCGCAGCAAAAATTTATTTATCAAAATATCTAAAAAATATCATTTTTTAGATTTAAAATATATATATAATTTTCCAAAGTCTTTCAATTAATTTAAAATCGTGCTAGAAATTTGGCGTAGGTAATTTGGTTCATTCTTCCCATCTTTCACATGTACGAAATGCGTCTCGCGAACCGTCGCCGTTTTCATCAGCTGCCGCTGTCGGTAAAGCTGTCAAAGTGAACTTTAAGGGGGTACGATGCGGCAAGCATTAGCATAAAATGCTAAAGAAACGCGCCACATTAGAATTTCGATGTAGATTAAAGTGCGGCATCCACCCGAGTGAGGCTCCTAAATCTGACTTCGTAAAAATAACTTCTCTCGAGTAGAGTATCCTAACGAAATTTCCACGGCGACGATGGAAAATGATCTCGTTTCCCAGTTCGCACAGAGTCGCTGGATACCTAAATTTTTATATGTAAATAACGAGCTAATTATTAGATAGATTATTAGATAGACGAAGATTTCCCTATAAATATGCGTTTAAGAAAAATTTTAAGCTACTTTATGTAAAGTCCCCATATCAGATTAGAGATTTCAACTGAGATTGAATTGGAATTTCGTCAATCAAAGCAAAATTAACTAAATTGATATCAGTTTTCTTTCTTCTGATCAGCTAAATATCAGTCGAATCATAACTTCAATCTCTGGTGTGATGATACAAGCTTAATATAATCTCATAAATTTTTCATAGGTAGATACAAGAACATGCTTTAACCGATAAATAAATAAAACAAGAATAGGGTGTAAAGAGAAATTAATTATTATTTATAACTCGTGTTACTGTCTTCTATACATGGGAAGCCATTTCGGATAAAATTGGAATAAAGAACACACACAGTTTCGCGTAGCACTTTCCACGATGATATATCTACTATAGATAGATAGTACACATCTTTAACCTGGGAGTGAGAACAATGAAAAAAAATATAATAATAATATTTATTTGAATAGTATCAATTAAACATTTACTTACAATAATAAATGTCTTCAAATTTAGTAAATATTTAATTGGTACTATTCAAACAAATGATTTATTAAAATTTAGTACATTCTTTCAATGTAAAAAATTATTATTTTTTTACGTAAACAATCACCTCATATGTTTTTACATTTCAATTAAAATTACTGTTATTAACAACGTATTGAATATTATTGATTGTTTTCCGATTGATTAGCGTTTGAGAATATTATGGATATTAATTTAATCATGATTTTCTGAAAAAAATAAATAGAAATCAAACAAATATTAAACGAAATAAGCACGTTAAATAGATTATATATCGGAACAATATTTAAAAAAAATAAAAATTTTATTAATGTAACGCTTTTTTATTGCGAATTTTCAAATTGCATATCTAAAGGTTCATAAAGAATAGTTATTAAAAAAGAAAAATATGTCAAACGATATCCATGCACAAAATAATATTTTACAACAATTCATAATTTTACGCCGCTGAAATGTAAAAATACTCCAGGTGACTATTCCCGTATTAAATGGAGACGATCGACAGAAGCAATTTGGAATTGCTGAATTGGATACGTATATAAAATTCAGACCAAAATATATTCAAATGTTGTAGCTTATACCGGCTACTTAGTTATGTCTTTATGACACTGTTTATTTCACTTGCCTTAAGCAATACGTGTCCTTACATAATACTTATTGTGATTTCGGAAGATCCGGGTTTGAATCCCTGAGATAATATTTTTAACAACAAATTATTTGCTGTTTTTAAGGTGCTTATTAGTATAATCAATATAATCATTAAACTGATTGTCAATTTAATTTGTGATATATACTATTACTCTAATTCTGTTTATAATTGCATTTCAAGATTGAAAATATGTCGGCGCGCAGTTTGCAAAATTAGATATGTATATAAAATTCACAGCAAAATATTCAAACAGAGAGATCTAACTTATACCGAGTAAACTTTCGTTATTTAGTTGTGTTTTCACATATCACGGTTTTGTGACATTTTGGAATAACCGATAAACAAGCGGAAAGATTGACACACAATTAAGAATACGTAACTACAACATCATTTTCACGGAAGAAATATAATCGCGGATATGATATGCTCAGAAGATGCAACATTTAACCGCTGTCTTGACCTGAAAAATACGACGCGTTGAAAAAGAACATAAAAGTGAGTAAAACCAAGCTACAGAATACAGTTCTTCAGCGGCGAACGATGATCGCAACAATTCGGAAGAAATAACCCGAGTGCGCGCGACGAAGGAGTAAAATTCTATTTCAAGAAACGCTTTTAAACGCAAGAGCTTTCGTTTTTGCAGCGATGAACTACATCTTCTCAAGCAGATTAAAAAATTAAAAATCTAGGTGTCTTTTTATAATCCTTAAATACTTGTTATGAAATAGACATGAGTTCGATAATGTCTTTTCTTTTAACTTCGTAATCACGTCTCAAAATATATCAAGAAAAAGAAAGAAGAGATCAGGAAAAAAAATATATCGCACATATAAAAATGCTTCATAATTCTCAGGTATATTTTAAATTCTCAAAAAAAAAGGAGAAAAAGTTAGCAGCAACGTGTGAATCTTTCTTTATGTAAAAAGTTATACCGAATCGTTTCTTGCAGACAGTTTACCGAGGCTAAATGAATAGTTAAATGGCTAGTGTTTCCTTCGCTACGCGCGTTAGATCTTAACGCGGAATTTACGAGCGTGATAAACCTCGCCTCATCACGCCCCCGTTTCTTCACACCAACCAACCATCGCTTGTAACAACGCTTCCGTTTTTGACGGGTGCGCTCCAGCGTCAGTTTTTAACGCGTAATTCAGTTACACCTCAGCGTATCATGCATGCGTTCGTTTAACTGCGATGTAAAGCAGATCAAGACTTCGTCGCAAGCGCGGCGGATATTATTACCGCCGACCGTACTCGCTAATAATTTTATGAGCAATTTTATTGAAGTTTGCATCGTACGCTCGCGGTTTAGTCGAGTTTCCGTTCAGATCCGAAGCGGCTTCCAGCCCTGCAGTGCAATGTTGATAGTGTATAAGTGTTTTTAATTGCAAACGTAAATGTTTTACGAAAGAACTGGACGTGGATTAAGCAGGATAAAAATAGTCCAATTAAAATGGACGAGAGCAACTGGAAATATCAAGAATAATCTGAACGAGATCGAGATGCGGCAAATGTTGCCTCGTAAAAAGTTAAAGGTAATTAAAGCATAGCTACCTGATCTTTAATTTTGCGCTTACTTGCGATATGAATAATTTGCAGCAAATGCTAACGAGGCCATTTCAGTGTTAAATCGTTCTAACATGAAATTAATTTCATTTTAGCCTTTAGAGGCATAAATAAAGTGACTTGGTAAAATTCATGTCCTGATGACCCTTCGCGACGGATGATATTCGAGATCGCCGCGCTTTCTTAAGAAGGAAAGATTAATTTTAACGTCCCGATATTGAGAGAGAAGAAAGCGAGAAAGACGGGGGAGACGAGAGAAAGTTCAGCCAGCTGCTAATTAATTAGCCTGACAAACGTTAACTGACGGTTGTTTCCCCTCCGGTCGGGTCTGCCCGCCGGCCGTATAAGGCCGTGTGGCCGGCCCTTTTATCCAGGAATTAATTCTAAAAGTTGCGCGGCATACATCCCCGGCTTCTCGCACTCCAGCGTTTCATCT